AATAGATTGATCAACTAGACAAAAAATAAGTGATGAAATACTAGAACTCAATCAAACTCTTGAACATATGGATTTAACAGATGTATACAGTGTTCCACCCCACAAAATCAGAATACACATTCTTTTCAGCTGCACATAAGTTGTTCTCCACAATACACCACATACTCGCTCATAGAACATGTTTAAGTAAGTGCAAAGGCACTGAAGTTATCCCCTGTATATTATCAGACCGTAGTGCAATGAAATTGGAGATCCATAGCAAAAGAAACGGCAAGAATTACATAAACACATGGAAACTGAACAACTGAATAACCAATCGGTCACAGAGGAAATTGAAGAAGAAATCAGACAGTTCCTACAATTAAATGACAAGAACAATACAACATATCAGAATCTATGGGACACAATAAAAGCAGTCTTACGAGGGAAATTCATAGCAGTGAATAGTCACATGTGGAAAGTAGAGTGAGGCCACTTAAACAACCTGATGCTGAACCTCAAGCTTCTAGAAAAAGAAGAGCAAGACAAACCCAAAGCTCATACAAAGGAGGAAATTATAAAGATCAGAGGAGAAATCAATGCAATGGAGACTAAGAGAACGATACAAAAACTCAATGAAGCCAAGAGTTGGTTCTTAAAAAGAAGAAGTAAAATTGACAAATACTTAGCCAATCTTATCAGAAAAAGAAAAGAAAAGGCCCAAATCCATGCAATTAGGAATGAAAAGGATGAAATTACATTGGACCCAGCAGAAATCCAGATCACCAATACCTACTTTGAGAACCTATGTGCCAATAAGATGGAAAACAGAGAAGCAAAGGACAGATTCCTAGATATGTATGAATTACCAAAGTTGAACGAAGAAGACTTAAAATTCCAAACAACCCAATATCAATCAATGAAATTGAAAACGTAATTTAAAACTTACCAAGAAAAGCCCAGGTCCTAATGGCTTCACTGCCAAAGTCTACAAGACATTTAGAGAAGAAATACTGCAACTATTGCATAAACTCTTCAATGAAATTGAAAGGGAAGCAATACTCCCAAATTCACTCCTGGAAGCAAGCATCACCTTGATCCCCAAAGCAGAGAAAGACCCACCCAAAAAAGAGAACTATAGGCCAATCTCACTAATGAACATAGATGCAAA